GTTCCTTTCTGGAGGTTTACGGTTCTCTTCCAAGCTTGTGTGGTTGTCGATAGAATTCAGTTCCCTGCGAGCAGGAGCGAGGTCTCCATTGTCTTGGTGGCTGTCAGCCGGGGGCCATTCTGAGCTCCTACTGGCTGTCCCCAGTTCTTTGCTGTGTGGTCCCCTCACGGACTCAGACCATGACGGCTTATGCCTTCAAGGCCAGCGGAGATCTCTCTCTGGCAAAAGGGCTCAGTCTCTCTTTCAAGGTTATTTAACTAAGTCAGGCTCACCCAGGATAATCTCCCTTTGGATTAACTTGAAATCAACTGATTTGGAACCTTAATTACACCTGCAAAATCCCTTCACCCTTGCCATATAATGTAACCTAGTCCCATGACTTTTGCCTTATTCTGTCGGTTAGAAGCAAACCCCAGGTCCTGCCCACACTCAAGGGGATGGGGTTACACAGGATGTAACACCAAGAGTGCAAGTCACGGGCCTTCTTAGAGTTCTGCCACCAAAGCATAAACCAGGTAGAGTTTTAAAAAGTGAAAATAAAGATATTTAACAATATAAAAGCATTTTAATGATTATCACCAAATTAAGTTTTCATAATACAGTTCAGGTTACCGTGGAGATAGTGCACAATATACTACATTCACACTTAACCAAAGCAACAAAAGCAAAATTATGAATCTTGATTCTCCCAAATAAGACAATAATACTCATCTAAAATCCATGAGTAAAGCATATTAGACAAAATGATCACATTTTACATCAGGAAGGACTTGCGTCTCATCTGGTATCAATCAAATATTTTAGGAATGAAGAAAATAAAGGTCATTGAGATAAACAATGTATTCAAGTTTTCCTATGTAGTTAGCACAAACAGATTTTCTTCAGATTTTGAGAGTTCATAAAATGTACTAGCTAACAAGCGAGATTTTAGAAAATATGAGTACAAAGGTGATATTTTAATGACCTTACACGACCATTGTGCATTCAAAGAGCCCACAGTCATTTGTATATCCGCATTTTATTCTGACTGAGTTTCTGAAATCCTCTTCAGATGATTATATAATCACAGGGCTGAAACAAGTCATTTAGACGCTGTCTAATGCCATCTTCCCCACCTCCCCATGAGTGATCACCGGCTGCTTAACATGAAACATTTATCTAAGGAAACACCCACAGGGGCATCCACTAGGGCTTTACTTTCTTGCTAAATGAGAGATTCTTTTTTTTTTTTTTTTTTTAATTTTTTAAAATTTTTTTCCTTTTTCTCCCCAAAGCCCCCCGGTACATAGTTGTATATTCTTCGTTGTGGGTCCTTCTAGTTGTGGCATGTGGGACGCTGCCTTAGCGTGGTTTGATGAGCAGTGCCATGTCCGCGCCCAGGATCCGAACCAACGAAACACTGGGCCGCCTGCAGCGGAGCGCGCAAACTTAACCACTCGGCCACGGGGCCAGCCCCTAAATGACAGATTCTTAATGGGAAAGTCCTTAAAGGAAGATTTCTAGTTGCTGGTTTTCAAAATGAATTAATTATAACTCCTTGTTAAGGATAATTCTGCTCAGGGTTTTTGACCTCCTAAAAGGAGCAACATTACCTATTAGCACAGTAAATGAAACAAACAAAATTTATCAACTTTTACAGGAGAACTATAATATTTTACAGGAGAACTATAAACTTCATTCTAATATTCAGTGTTACAATTCTGCTTTGATTATTTACATCCTTTTTTCCCCAAATAAAAGTTCCAAAGAAATTTAACTTCCAGGGTTAATGTAGTTAGCTCAGAATCATTAATCTTACTTTGCTAAAGTTACATTCATTAAATGCACCCAGATATTTTGTATGTAAGCAACTACTGATAACTATAAAGGTTTTTAAAAAATCTACCTAGGTCATTAAAAATTAAAGATATCTTACTTTAACATATTTACAGATAAGACTCATGGATATCATTCTAACCCATGAGCACTGTAACTAAAACTAATATTGGATATTAGTTTTATGGAGGGAAAATATAATGAGAAAAAATGTAATTGGTCACTTTATTGCCCTGATTTCTTTTAATATGCATTTTCCTAACTGATTTATCTATTATGACGGCTAACATGGAATATTCTAGAACCTTTATGCTTACCATCAATTATTACAATTTCCTAAACATTACTTTATATTGAACAGACATCATTTATAGAAATCACGTAAAATTCTCTTGCATGAAGGTTCAGTTCTTAGATTGGAACTGGATTTGTGAGATACTCGTGACTTGGGGTCTCCGTAACTCGTGCCGGGTGTGTAAAACCTGGTTAAGACTCAGTTTCATTTGAGCTCAGATTAGTTCTCTTGTTAACATTTAACTCTTGTCTCTTATTCTTTTATCTGTTTGAAGTCTCAATATTCTTTGGCGCCCTTATGTTTTTATTTTGTCATGTTTTAGTTGCTTTTCCCTGTAATTTGATCTTGGCACTTTAAAATATATACTACTGTAGTTAGCTTCAGTGTTTTCTACAGTGAAATATTAAAGAATGATGAGGTGAAGAAGTGGATTGAAATGATAGTATATATAAAATAGTAAACATGCCATTGCTATACTTTTGGGGATCTCAGCAGAGAAAGCTTTGCTAAACTTTGCTAATCTGGGAAATTATGGTTTCCATTCCACCCTGACTAATGACTGACCGTGTGGGTGACAGGGAGGTCATTATACTGAAGTTAGGTAGAGAATTACATACTAGCTGTCACACGGTCAAGACTACAGCTCTGCAAATGCTGAAATCCCCATCTGACTTTACCATTTCAGAGCCAAATCTCTTGAAGGGTTTTTATTGTCATGTACTTCCTTGGTATGTATGTATTCAAGAAAGGACGTTGGTTCATACATGAATAGAATAAAAAGGAAAATTAAATTTTATATAGAGCGATCTTTCAAACTAGTAAAAAATTAAAGCATTAATTAATTTACAGTTCACAGCTTCATAAGATACGGAATAGTTACCAAAACGAGGAATCACGCTCACACACATATGAGGATTACATCATTTTGTCATCCCACTTTGAGAATAATGACTCAAAGTCTACCTACCATCTTTTGATTAAGGCCTGGCCCTTTCGGTGGGCTAATGACTTTGTGTATCTTGCCTTTTGATCTCATAAAGATTAGTGTTGGTCGGCAGTATTTTGTTGAAGGGCAGCACTAAAGAACCCTGAATATTCACTACCAATTAGCAACAGGTTCCTGATGTTGAAGAAAATATGGTGCTCACTAACCGCATCTCCCTAGAAAGAGTGGGCAATGAAAAGCTGCAGCGATGGGGAGAAAGTCTGCTGGTCTCGTGATTGGCTATCCTAAGGTGGTGAAGTGGACTCAGCTGCTGGCACAATTTAATTTAATCAAAATATATAATGCCTAAAAGTGATTTTAAATGCCACAATGTAAGATAGCACAAAGTAAATATACTGTCCCTTTACATTCACATACAGTTTACAAAATTAATTCACACATATTTCTAATAAAACGTGCATCTTTATTCACTCAGGAGCTATTTACTGAGTGCCGACCATGTGCCAGGATCACAAGGTGAGTGACAGCACACAGTCACTGGTGCAAGGAACCATCAAAGGCTGGTTGTCCAAGCACTGCGGGGCCGCGCAATGGCTTCCCCTTGCCTCAGGCCCTTCTACGGGTCTCCGTCCAGGTACATCTTCTCTCTCGGCATCCTGCGTAACTGAGGCGCTCACTGCTCTGACGCAGGGTCCTCCAGTCAGAGGCGAGCCTGACACTCCAGAGTTCAGAATTTGAGGACTTCAACCTTGATTCAGTCTCCAAAAAATGTTAAAATAAAATATCTTAAATCTGTAGATGCTGCACAAAACACATGTGCCACATGTTGTGTGACTTGTATAAAGTGAAACTGTCCAATGGAACTAAACAGTATTGCGATACTGTAAAAATACTGTCTTTGTAAATTTTTACCAAGAAATCACAACTAAAACTTGGCTAATTTAAATCTATTTATCTATTTATTTATAATTTATAATAATAATTTATATTTACTACATTAAATACATTTATATTAACTATACTAAACAACACACTTCCAGCTATATTTTGATTGGATTGGTATTTTATCTCTCTGCCTACGTGAAAATATAAATATTTATTTATTATGCAACAAAAGAAACAATGTGTCTACTGGGCATAGAACTATGGCAGGATCGAAGTAATTGCGTAGAAAGTGAAGGACGCTAATTAATGGGAGGCATGTCAGACTGAATGCTAGGCTGCTGCTCCTGAAAGAGCCGGCGCCTAGGTCGCACCTTCCAGATGCCAGAAGGGAGTGGATCACCCACTTGCACCTTCTGCTGCAACATTTTTTTCTTACTGTGCCTATCTTGCAAAATTAAGACTTTCTATATTAAATGAGTATTTTTTCAAAAAGTACAGAGAATATTATCAGAGCGTTTAAAATTACCCAGCGGTCTTGAAAACATGAGGATGTTTAAAACAGAATATGAGTTCCTTAGGACGACTGGTGCTTCATTCACTAAATCTGCTGTTAAATGCTGAAATGTGGACAGGAATTTACTGTATATCAGAATGGAGTTTTTAAAAAAATGAGAAAGTAGCATCTGAATAGTAACATTTATGAATTAATGAGATTAGGAAAACATGATTTGTAAAATTTTACAAATTAATGAATTAAGTAATCATTAAGCAATCTTGACTCAATCAACGGCAAACTCAAGATTATTACAATTTTCCCACCATGTAGAGATCCTGACATGAAAAAAATCACAATAAAAGCAAACAAAAAACCCAACACTATAGTTCACAGTGAAATTTTTTAAGAAGTAAATGTTATATGAATATTTTGCTACTGAAAATTCTGATCCAGACAGGAAACAAACAGTAATTACATTAAAAGAAGCTCTACCAATACAATATGGATGAAGTGATACAGCAAACCAAACGACAACATGCTTATCAGGAAAAGAAAATACTTACTGGGGAAAACCACATCACTTTAAGAATCCAAATTGTAAGAGCAAAATTCACAAGGAGGATGATGAGTAAAAGCAGAACAAATAAGTAGAGGCAGCGCTTTCTCCAGCCATAAATGCCAATTTTGTAGACACTCTGGTTCTCTGGCCTCTCTATGTGGGTGCCTTCTGTGGTCGTAGTGTACTGCTCACACACCATCTGCCATGGGGGGCCGGGAGGGGCGGGGAATCGGGGGAGGTGGGGAGAGGGAGAGAATAAGGGGGAGACAAGGTCAAAGAGAGAGAAGGAGAGAGGGAGGGAGGGACAGAAAGACAGACAGAAAGAGAGAGAGAACTTGTTTGACAATACTGATTTGCTATGAGTCCAACAAAATAAATACTTTTTACCCCCCCAAACTTGCAAAATTAATGACTTTTAAAAAAACAAATATTACTCTGAAACATGTCACTGTGTTTCCACCACAGAGTGATGTGTAATCTGTCATTGAAAATATTTTAGGTATGACAAATCTATTTGAAATCCAGTGACCACATTTTTAGATTTTAATAAATAAATTCAATACATACACGGCTTTCAAAATTCTGCAGGGTTAAACTTGAAATTGAAGCATCAAACTAAAATAATCTCATTATAAAGTTCTTAAAAGCTTCAGTGGGAGGAAAATCAAGCTGGTACCTATATAGCTTTTAAAAAATAGAATTCAATTATTCAATTTTATGTCAAATGATTAAGTTATATTTTTCTTCAGCTACTAAATTAGTCAGAATTAAAAAGTCTCTTTATAAGATACCTACCACACTAACTTTTGCCTTTAACAAAGTTCCCAAGGATTGACCTACTTCAAGAAAGATCAGAATATGCGTGTGTATGCAAATGTTTACAAATATTCATTGTTTTATATAAATTAGACTAGGAGTTTTTAGTAACAATTTCAACTCTGTGAAGAGATTTTTAAAAATTATTCATTTTCCCCTTTATACACAGAAAAAAATGTAGTTTTAATTTATAAAATTAAGATCAGAGATTATGAAGACTTTTCTAATTGCAAATGTAGCAAAACGATGAATCAGAATATAAAATATTCTCTGAGTTTTTTTAATGCAATGATTATTCATTTATTTTTAGGAATGGTTTGGCAGTATCCTTATTTAAAATAAATCATGGTCTAAAATAATTCTTTAAATCTCTTTCCAACTTAACAATAGCCATTTCCCCGTGTTCTAACTGATTATATAAAACTGAGCTACTCATCACATGGTATTTTCAAACACTCAGGACTGACAATGTGCATTATTCAAAACCTAAACACTTAGTGATTTCATAACGGCATTATCTATTTACTCATTTCTCTGAGCTTCCTTTGGTCTTCCTCATATTAGAAAGTCGGCTGCCGTCTACCCGGTTGCTCCAGTCAGTCTTAGAAGTCATCCTTGCATCTTCTCTTTCCCTCCAAGCCCCACATCAACAAGTGGTATCAACTCTGCCTCCAGCATGCCTCCCCAGTCAGCCTCCTCTCCATTGCCATTGCCACCACAGGAGCGTAAGCCACCACCAGCTCTCATCTGCTCTACTGCAAAGCCCGCTTTCCTTCTTTCCTCTCCTGAGAAACGGTCTCCGCCAGCAGCCAACGTGTAAAACATAAGTAAGCTTCTGCCACTCTATTGTCTCAAATCTTCCAACGGCTTTCCCCACACTGAGAGTATCCAAACTCTGCCATCACCTACCAGACCCTGCATGAAGGGCCTTTGCTCACCTCTTTGACTTCATCTGCTATCATGTGTCTTGTGCTCACGATGCCCCACCTACTCTTTTAATAGGCCGAGCTAACTCTCACCTCAGGACCTTTGTCCTGGGCATTCTCTCCACCTGAAAGGCTCGGCTGGCTCGTTCTTGGCTTTCAGCAGCAGCGCACACATCATCTCCGCAAAGAAGCCTTCTCTGGACAGCCAGTCCCTCTCCATAGCATCACTGTATTATATTTATTTCAAAGTGCTTGTCAGTACCTGAAATAATTGTAGCAGTTCCAGAATTTCTGTAAAGGATAGGCTAAGAGACTGCAAGTGGATTCGGAAGGGTAGCCAGAGTCTGAATTTAAAGCAAGAGCACGATTTTATAGCATTGCTACAGATCAACAAAAATAGTAGTTCTCTAACAATGTGTTTGTATACACACACACATACACACACGTTGTTGCCAACTGCTATATATTTCTATTCCTATACATAGTTTCCTATTGCTGGTATAACAAATTGTCACAAACTCTGTGGTTTAATCCAACACAATTTATTATCTTACAGTTTTGGAGGTCAGAAATCCAAAAATGGGTCTTCAGGGGCTAAGAATCAAAGTGTGGGTGGGGCTGTATTCCTTCTGGAGGTTCTAGGGGAAAATCTGTTCCTTTCTTTGTCCAGCTTCTAGAGGCTGCTTGGCTCCAACCTCTATTTCTGTTGTCACATCTTCTCTGACTCTGACACTCCCACTTCCCCCTAACAAGGACCCTTGTGATTACACGGGGCTCACCTGGGTAATCCAGGATAATCCCCATCTCAAGAGCCTTCACATAATCACATCTGTAAAATCCCTTTTATCATGTAAATTCTGGGGATTAGGACATGGACATCTTCAGGGGCTTTTGTACTTTTCCCATAGAAAGCTTTTGTTGACAGCTACATGAAATTGAGGAACTTTAATATCCACTTAGACAATTTTGTTGTGGCTTACAGGAGGGCTGATAGCAATTTGTTATGAAAGGAGCCCTAAACCCCCCCTAATTCAGCCCTGGGAGCCTGTTTTGTATGATTGTTCATTTGTTTATTGAATCCCCCTCTTTAGAACGTAAACTCCACGTGAGTCTTGGTCATTGCTGGGTCTCTAAAATAGTGCAACTGACAAGTAATCAGCAAACAATGTCTTAAATGAATGAATGAATGAATGAATGAATGAGACAAAGAACTGCTGAATTGACAAACGTTATCAGAGCTGCCTGCCAGGGATGATTGCTAGGAAAAGGGGCTAGATGGATGGAGTAAGTCCTCTGAGGTACATATCAAATAAGACATTCTATGATTTATGAACATGCTCCATCTATTAAGAAAAGATTTAGTACTTGTGGGCTAAATCCAACAGTCCTCTTAAACAAATGAATGTTTGAGGAGCTAATCCCAAATGGGACGAAGGCTAAGTGGATAAAAATTAAATACGCGGTCTAAGTTAAAGTATGTTCAGAAATGACTTGTTGGGAAGAGGACTAATAATATGTAAATATGAAGTCTCCAGTATTTTAAATATTGAAAGAATACTGACGAGGATAAACTACACACGGTTGGAAAAACAGCCTTAGAAGAGGCGAGCCACCAGCCCGCGGCCCCTGAGGACAGTGATTGTGCTTTATCACCATGTGCCCCCGCCAACAGAGGCTGCTTCACAAACATCTGCAGCCCTGGCCCCATTTCTCCACTTCCCTTTACAGCAAAACTCCTTCAGTGAGTGGACTACACTCACTGTCTCTCTAATTCTGTATCTTCCAGTGTCTCCAGAACCCAACTCCAAACAGCCTTCACATGTGCCACTCCACTGAACTTGCTCTTGCAAGCTCACCAATGACCTTCATGTTGCTAAAAAAATGTGCATTCACATGACCTAGAGCCAGCACTTGGCAAATACTCATTGCCTCCTCCTTGAAACACTTTTTCCACTTGGTTTCCAGAAACTCCACTAGGCTTTCTTCTCATTGCAATGGCTGCTATTTCTCATTCTCATTTGACTGCTGCTTCCTCCTCATCTCCTTGCCCCAGGCTCAGCTCTTGGACTCCTCCTTTTTGTATGTATTTACCCCTAGTTGTGGGGGCATCCTTAAGCTGAGGACTCCCCAGTTACCAGCACAGACTCACCCCGAACTCCACACTCCTATACCAGTTGGGAATCTCAAACTTCACATGTCCCAAACAAAACTGACCTCATCTCCCCAACCTGCTCCCTGTAAAATTTTTCCCATATCACTAAACGGCAACTTTATCCTGCAAGGTGCTCAAGTAAACAATCTGAGAGTTGTTCTTAATTCTCTTCTTTCTCCATACCGCATCCAGTCCATCAACAAATCTTGTTAGTACTACCTTGAATCCAGAATCCCACCGTTTCTCACCAACCTCTTTCACCTACGTTATTCCAACAAACACCTAACTATTCTCTGCTTCCACCTAGAAACCTCCTACCATCAATTTCCAACATGCAGGCTGGAGGGGTCCTTCTACAACATCAATTGGATCATGTCCCACCTTTCCATAAAACCCTCCTATGGCATTCTATTTCATTTAGAGTAAAAACCAAAACCCATACCCTGACTGCACGGCCCATCCTGTCTTTATCTGTTGTCACTCTCCCTCTTATTTCTTTTGCTCCAGTCACACTGGTCTTACTCATTCATGTATATTCCAAGCATGATTCCACCTCAGGGACTTTGTAGTTATGATTCCTTCTATCTGGAAGGTCTTCTCTCAGATGACTGCATGGCTCCCTCTTTACAGCATCGTCTCTCTGCTCAAAGATCATTTATCAATAGAGCCCTCCCTGACCATCTTAATTAAGTAATAACCCTCCTCTTACACCACTGCGTATCTCTCTATGCTCCTTCCTGCTTTATTTTTCTCCTTAGCATTTAACTCCACATGACACACTACATATTTTACTTACTATTTTTATTGTAAATGCCTACCTCCCCACATATAAGTTACTTCAGAGTCTCAACTCTTTATAATTGAGGAGACATCCACTTAGTGCATTAGTTGTTTACTGAGGAGGAGACCCAGCAGGCTCCACCGCAACCTCAACCCCGGGATGAGGAAACCGGGGGAGGTGTCCTATGGAGTCTGTGAGTCACTCCACATCTGTGCACCTGCGTTGTCGACAGCTTGAGTAAGAGGCTGGACCCCATTTCCTCAGGAGAACATGCTGATGACAGACTGATCAGCTTTGTAGTCCTTCCAGATTTGAGCTGTATTTACCAAAACCACCTCTATTTGTTACCAAATCTGTTATTTTTCCAGTTGTATTTCTTATTACATCATGTTTCATTACTGCCCACTTTAACTTTTTTGGTTAACCTGCCATTTACCAGTGTTAATTATGTTGCATAAAACATGGCTTTTACTCTAGATTGGCATGATTTAAATGAGTAGGCAGAATACTCGTAAATTTTTTTC